AGGAGACCCGAGTAGGTGGCCAGCGCGGAGATGGTGCAGATGAGGATGACGCCCGGGACGAGGCCGACGGTGGCGAGGACGGAGGGGAGGGAGAGGATGCCCAGGGAGACAGTCTCTGCTACGAGCACGATGCCTCCTTGTCTGGGGAGAGTTAGTTGGGGTGGGAAGGTTGGAGGGTTGGGGGGACTGACAGCCAGTGGAGGGTTTTGAAGTTGATCAACTCGCCCTCGTCGTTCTCGCCCACGCCGCCGATGTGGCTCGATGAGGAGAAGGCTGGTGGCTGGTCCTGGACTACTTTGGAGCCAGCTGGCGCGTCGGCCTTGGCCTGGCTCTCAGGGTCGACGGGCGCCCTCGTGGCCTCTGTGTCCTTTCCCATGTTGAATGCCTGAGAAGGAGATCGGTTGAAGCTGAGTGATGTGGAATGGCCAACTTGTATGGCTTCACGATCCCCTCACAGGTTCAAAGCTGAGAGGTGTTGTTGGTGGAACCTGTTCGCGTCCGGTGGAGCGATCCGATGAGATGGCAGGACAAAGAGGGACTCAGGCCGACATGCAGCTTTCGGGGAGCGGCCTGTGGAGCAAATCGGGAAATCAAGCCTGTTGCATACGGGATGATTTAGGTTTGAGGGGCCCCGGATTCTCTCTTCCTTCTGATGTGCGTTTGCGCGGTTCTCGTCGGCACTCGTGGCAGAAGGGCGGAAGGGGGGATAAACATTTTAAGAGGGAAGCACATTCCCATCATCAACCCACACCACACCCATTGACTCACGGCTCTTCCGTCTTCCCACGCCACCCCAAACTGCTCAAAAACCTGGACACATGGGATGACCCCATTGTCGGAGCCAGACTTTTCTGACACGATGACTGAATTGAAAATTTAACAAGGTGCTACTGCATCTGGAACCTCCGCTACAAAATCAGACGGCGGGCGAAAATTCGGCGTTTTCGTTACGTCTTACAATCCACTTGGCGGGGCGCGCTCTGGACCCCTTTCCGGGATCTACGGGGCGCGCGCACTATGGGAGAACCGCCACGGGCCCACGGTCAGAAGGCCGATTCGATTTTTCCTCTCTTTCCGAGGTGTGACTGATGTTTCGTGGCATGAGAAAACGCCGGTACCGAAATGCAGATGTTGCTAATCGTTCCCCGATGAGAGGACGGGAGGGGGAGAGTTGCCGGCCGGCACGGGAGACGGACGAGGGTGAGTTTGGAAAGGGGGTGCGGCAGCAGCCGCGAGTCATGCCGGTTTGCATACCTTAATCCAACGTCAACCAGATCGATAGCCCCTATGCAACATGTCTCCCCCGCGTTTCGAAACGCGTGACCTTGTAAAATGTTCAAAGGGCGCGCTTGGCAGGTCTGCGCTATCCAGCAACGGCAGGTCGCAAGCCGCGTTCACGTAATGGCTACAATGGGTGGAGTTGACGATCACGGGGGAACTGTTGCATACACGAACGGGTCTTGTGTTGATTTACGTTTGAGGAACGTAAAAAGTCCGTCGCTCTCACTCGGATGTTGATTAAAGTGTTTGAAAATGGCTTCAAAGCATGCTTATGCATATGCAGCTAGCCCACTATCTACATTTGTCCGCTTGAGGCACACTACGCCTAACTCTCAATCAACATTAAGGGAAGAACGTGGTATTCATCATGTCAAAAGGGATGTCACATTCCCAAGGATGCTTAAGTATTACCAATATATCCCGGTTGATAGGCCTTTCGATTAGGTTTTTGGTAACAACAATTCCAATAGGTGATGTTGTTCCATGTGCAAGGTGCAGGGGCTCCTGATATGACCAGTAATACTTAATTCAGAAGAGAGAAGCCCGAAACAGCAGGGGTTGGTGAATCCGTGTGACAAAGTTGAACTCGATAAACAATTATCCTGGTTAGGCTATGGACTGGGACCGATACCTAACTACTTTACTGCCTATTTTCTGTCAACTGCAATACCGTAATCTTTTCCGAATCCCAAACATGGAATGAAATTCATGATTCATCAGCAGTTTTGTTCCAAGACCGGAGTGGTGCAGGACCAATTCCTTTTCATACCCAGCGAAAAAACTCCAGAGACTCCGTAAAGTGGGTGTTCCAGACTCGACTTACCATCAACACGATTACAGCCTTATACAAAGCCATTTCGTACGGGACTCGGCATCGGTTAACGAAGCAGCATCCCCTTCAAGACTGAAACAATGTGCTCCAGCGAGTCGATTTGTTGCTGCTCGATGAGCATGCAAACGTGATGCTCCCGAATCATTTCCTCGGACCACGTCCGGCTTTCAGCTGCGTCAATGTGAACCAAGCCACATATCTGTTGGATGCGAGCGCTGTAGTCCTCGATTACGATGGGATCCAGGTTTCCGAACTCGGAGTGGGTGATCAGTCTGGGCCTTCCAGTCTCCGATGTAAGGCCTTCGATCCACGCCGGGCCATTGCTGGCCATGATGCCGCCCACGACATCGAAAAGAATGCCCATGCCATTAGTCACATCGCCCACTATAACCTTGGCAGCGTCGGGAAGCCATTTCTGACAGTCTTTCAGGATGGAAATGGCATGCTGCAGTTCCTTTTTCAGGCCATACATAGTCTGCCGGATGCGAGGTCGTTGATAGTCATTGGGAGTTTCGATCTCGTATTTGGGTGCGGGTGCCGCTGTGATACCAGGGAAAACATACCATGGCTTCTTCTGAAATTCGGCGAAATCACTGCCCAGGGTTAGCCAATAAGCCACGACGCGGTGTATGAAATGAGAGCTTACGCTTGAATGATGGGGAGAAATTCATCCATTTGCTTCGCGGCGCTTTCAAGCTCACCAACCAATGTCTCAAGCGAGGGAGCACGCTTTGGACTGCTTGAGCCAGGATTGTTGGACTCGACGATCTTGAATTCAAAACCAATCTCCCACAAAGTGCGGCTCAGTGAGGCTATCCACATCATCAGACTAGCATCCAGCGGGACGTCTCTCGCCGTGGCAATGGGTTGATTGCACTTTGCTGCGTAGACGGCAAGGATGGGCGTGAGACTGTCAACCTGAGCCAGAAGAGACTTGCAAGCAGGGAGGACCTTCGTCGCATGCTTCAGATGCATTATGCAAAGTGCCGGGCTGGTATCTCGCAGCATTCGTGAAAGAGACTGTAGCGCATTGTCGATGACGATGGGATCTGTGGAGGTCTCGTCGAGGTCCAGTGTGTCGCCAAGAGATCCTGGTGCCGTGTCATGGGTGGATGCACCAAAGGACGCTCCGCATTGCGAGACCATCTCTTTTGGCTTTCGCTCTTGTTCAGTAAACCCTTCGAATGACATGTCGCCGATTCTCGCCGCGCCTTTCGCGACTTTTCTGGGGCCCGACTCTTGGGGATTCAGATTCTTGAGAGGAGCGGAAGTGACTTCGCCCATTGTTAACTGTTTCCTGCTGCCCAACTCCTGGATTGCATCGTTGCAAGGCAGGTTAGGATATGTTGGTTCATTGCTGACATCAGATGTCTTTGAGGCATTGGACTGTAGTGTGAAGGTACCCTCTGCTCTCTTGTGTTGAGTGTCAGGTCTGCTTGATACTGGAGGTCGACTTCGCGGACCTCGAGCAGAATTAGGGAGAGGAGGACCGCATTCAAGCATGTAAGCACGTCTTGTTTTTTCGTCGGGGATTGCGAAAGAGGAAAGGGTGGCGTTATCTGTCGCCGCGGCTGGTGCTTTCGTGTATCGATAGACGTTTCCTAACGTGGGGGCGCGGGGATATTGTGGCCGTTGAGAGTCTTCCCGGGGAGACGATGCGGTAGGTTGTCTTACATCTTGCTGGCTCGGCGGCAGCGGGGCCTTTGACTTCGATGCGGACGTGGTTTTGACCGCTGCCACCTTGTCGACAGACACGGGGCTGGTTGGTCTGGGAGCAAACTGAGTGCCAATATCCATCTTTGATAGGGCGTGTCCTAGATCGGACGTGTTCGCATCGTTCGCATCGTGGCTTGCAGTGACTTGAGGAGCATGTCGAGTAGGAGACGTCTGACTGCGAGGAGAAGAGTCGACTTTGGATCGGGTCGGGACGGGAGACGCGGCGGGCTTCTCGTCTTCTTCATCGTCGGAGGACAGAGACTTGACGGAATAATTGTCGGCGATCTCCTCCCAATCGTCGTCCGAGCTAATCTTGCCGAAGCTCTCGCGCGAAGCCATGACGGCCGTTGGCGCCGAGGATGGTCGCTGGGACGTTGGCCGATGGACGTGAAGATGGATGGTGACGGTTTGGAGTTGTGGAAGTTTGGGTAGGTTCTGGATTAGTGAGCTGGCACCTGGTCGGGCGGGGAAGTCGAGATGGGACGGAAAGAAGGAGGGAGTCCCTGAAGCAAGGATGTGGAAAGCAGAAAAAGTGTGTGAGGGCAATTGAATAGGTGGCTCTTTCTGGTCCCTCCAGGTGCCCAAGTCAGCAGCGGTGACGCGGACAGAAGGAGGCGCGGGATTCTGGTCCAGTCCACCTGCCTTGACCCGGAGGCGGAGGGACGCAAAGAAGCGCCTCAGGCTGAGTGTCCTTGTCCAACCGGTGAGGCAGGCAGCTGCAGGCTGCCGTGGGTTTTCTTTGGCGGGAGTGGGAGCTATTCAGCTGCTGTTGGCACTCGCACACCGAAGCTTCGACCAATCAGCAAGCTTGAGTCGGTCAGTTCAGCGACCGGCGCTGTAATCGCCCTTGTCGTTCTGCAGATCCCTACCCCGCAGTGGGCAGGTGTGGTCTGTGCACATCTTCGCTTGCCTTATCGGCCACAAGAACCCCTGTTGACTGTGGCGATAAGCCTCGGGCTGCATCTCGAAGATTGGGGAAGGAACCATTCGAGCCAACTTGTTCCTGGCTCACTTCCAGGATGCCTGGTCTTTTTTTTGCTACTTCGACCTCATTCTACAATAGTGCATTGCAGAAGAACAACTACCTTCCCGTCAATTGTGTCACGTCAACCGAAAACAGGTACTGGCCGAGAAGTTCGATCAATATTATGGAGCCCTTCCGCAGGCCGTGATGGCTCTGATGCCGAATTCCGCCATTGAGCTCCCATCATTCCATGCGGACTGCCATGTCGCAGCCCGCCCTTCTAGATATCACATCCCAAGTTTCTGTCCCAAACACAGGAATCCCAAACAAAAGAAATGTCTCAAGCAGAATGTTGAGACTGCTACCCCGAACTCCTCTTGCATAGACTGGCTTATTGACAATTCTCCTCAGCCAGCGAACATCCATCATCCTGACCAATGCTACCGACAAGCATCCGAAAATTCCATTATTCTGCGATAATTCCCAACAAGCTTACACGCTCATGCTGCTGTTCTCGTGTTGCATCTTTCGGAAGTTGCCTCCCATCTTCATCAACTCCAGCCCGTTCTTGATGGGCGGCTCGCCACGGAGCAGAAGACCGATTTCGCTGGGGTGGAACCAGTTCATCCACACCATGACGAGGAACATGAGCGTCGCATCGAAGATGTAGATGTACACCTCCGTCGTCATAAGTTCTCCCTTGTTGCCCTGCAGGTACTCGATCACACGGAAGACGCTTCGCACCCAAATCAGGACACTGGTGACGTAAAGCGTCAGGAGGTAGTACTTCCACCGAATCTCGGGCTGGTGGGCTTTGGCCGTGGGCACAAGAGCCATGCGACGATGGAAGAGTGCCGCCGTGACGATGAAGAAGCCGAACACGAACAGCTGAACGAAGAGGCCGACGATGATGGTCTTCTCGCCAATCTCCATGAAGTTGTTGCCCTGGCCGGCAGCCGCCATCATTCCACCACCTGCGGTCATTAGCATCTTTTGTCAAGCTGGGGCTTGGATATACATACCACTGGATTGGAGAAGCAGAGACAGCACGTCGCCAGACACGAAAGCCTTGGTGAGCCAGCGCCTCTTGATCAGCGCATGGCTCTCTCCATCCGTCAACATGATGATCCGACCGAGAATCATGTAGATCGAGGCTGCCATCAAGGCCGGAGCAATCAGGAGCAGGACGTTCTGGATGATGTACGGTCCGAGGGTCCAGCAGCCAGGGTCTTCCATCGTGTTCTTCGCGCGGGCAGCATAGCCGATTAACTCGCCTGCAAAATCAGCCTTGTTAGCTCGCCGACCCAACTGGAGATGTCCTCTCCCATTCAACAGCAAGCAAGCTTACAGAAACCGCCAATGACAAACGCAGTCAAGTACCACGTCTTTGTGCGAATCATCTGAAATAGGTGCAGCGCAGTAGTCAAGATAAAGGCCACGCAGAAGAAGATCGCAGCCGCCGTCGAGGGCTCAAATCGGTAGAAGGCCCATTGAGCGTTGACATAGTCGGGATTGCACGCTCGTGCCATTGTGGTGGTTTCGAAATCGGTCCCTTGGCAAAGATCGTCGTCGTATCGATTCGGGCAAGGCAGCCAACGGCAAAGGACGAGGACGAGTATCGGTAAGGAATGTCGGTGTTATTCTCTGAGTCGTTTGCTGATGTCGAGAAGTTGTTTGACCGATGAACAAGGAGGAAGCTGGGGATATTTCTATCTCTCAGTAGGCGGTCGTTTGTTATGCTTGCGCCCTCCTGAGGAGGACGCGCCAAGTCTGGTCCATCGAAAGGACTGCATTCGCCCTGTTGTCAGCCAAAGAATTGACATTTTGCTCAGCAAACGGCAGGTCTTGGGCGCCTGCGACGGACAAATTTCTCCAATGAAGTGAGATCCGTGTATCACTGCGCCACAGAGGACCCGCGATCCCGAGTATTTGTATCAATAGAATCGGGACAGATGGAGCCTCCAACCGTACAGCTAGTGTACGAAATACGGAACCAATCACGGCAACCGGAGTACGGCTGGGCAACACTACGGGCGCAAGGGCTGACGAGTTGACCGGGATGCCCATGGTTTTGGGCCTTCGGGGACATGACAAGCGTCGGGAGACCCGCTGAACTAAGGAGAGACGCCCCGCAATTGCGAGTATTCGCTTTTGTCTCGTATCGACCCGCTGTTTTCATCTTTGATACTCGCATTCTCCTTGGCTTGACGGCCATCAAGATTCCTCTTATTCGATCCGAACCCGCGGGTTCGTACGCCATCCGTCGTCCTTCCTCTCACCAAGACACGCCTCTGGTAGCGGTTCGTCAACTGTCAAGATTGGCTGCCTGGAGAGATCCCGTCCGAAACATCAGACAAACACCCTCCTACTTAAGGTATTGGCCGCCAGCCCCCACCGATCCAATGGCAACTCGACGATCCCATACAAAGAGTCGCAACGGCTGCAGGGACTGCAAACGGAGAAAAGTAAAGGTAAGCGACGTCTACCCCTTGGCTCCGGTACCACGGCACGCGATGAACACGCGGCAACGTTATTTCGCTGCGCCCGCCCTGGCGCCACTCTCATGTTATCGAGCCAATGGAGCATGGTGTCACTGACTGCTCCAGTGCGACGAGGCATACCCGTCCTGCTTCAATTGTTCCAGACATGGCATAGTCTGCAGCCTATCAACTTCTCGCACCTCTCCCAGCGACATCAACCCCCAACGGCCACACGCCCCGTCTTCCGCTGATGGATCAAGCCCCCGTTCTAAATATGGCTTCCTCGACATGGTGGCAGACCGTACCCGCATGATCCCATCAGCACCCACCATTGCAATCTGGGGTCGCGGTTTGGAGCTCATGCACCACTACACACTAGCCACCGCCGACTCACTAGCCGTCCGTCCTGACATGCAGTACGTGTGGCGCGTGAATCTCCCGGAAATCGGGTACGCGTGCCCTTTCGTCATGCACGGCATCCTCACCTTGTCTGCTTTACACAAGGCGTACTTGATACCCCCAGAACGGGAGACGTATCTTGACCTCGCAACGGCACACCAAAACGCTGGCCTCGAGGGGTTCCGGTCCGAGCTGCACAACATCAACGACACCAACTGGCAAACGTTCTTCAGCTTCGCCTCCATTGTAGTCATGTACGTGTCCTCCGTACCCGTGCGCATGGGGAACGAAACGGAAACCATTCCGAATATCTTGGAGTTGTTCCTGTTTGTGAGGGGTATTCGTGCGGTGCTCGAGCCATATCAGGGACGCCTGACCAAAACCAAGTTTGCCGCCTTGGTGCACGGTATCTGGACAATAGACCCCGAGGATGTCAATTACAGGCAAGCGTAGACCCCGACACGAACACCTCCAATACACCAGACCTATTAACATGTAGTCCATAGAAATCCACCAATGCATTTGTCGCCCCTACCCCCCGACATCTTTCAAGCATTTACAGAGCTCGGAACCTTCTTCCAAGAAACCCTCAGCGAAGACTGCCGCGACGAGTATCTCAAGGCCGTCGAGGAGCTCGAAAAGGCCATCTACTTCATGGCGCATGCCGGTACCAACGTCGAGGTGGGCATGATTCTCTTCTGGCCCTACGTCATCTCAGAGAACCTCATGGCGGATATTCAGGGGCAGAACCCGTTCAGCATGGTGCTTCTGTCGTACTTTGCGATCCCGCTGTGCGTGTTGGAGCAGAGGTATTGGTTCTTGCAGGGGTGGAGTCGGAGGCTGTTCGAGGTTACGGATACTGTTCTGGCGGAGCATCCTGCGTTGCTGGAGATGGTGAAGTGGCCGAGGAGGCAGGTATTTGAGCTTTACGGGCCGATATGAGGGGTACATTGTCGTAGCAAAAGATTAAAATCACTAGCCGAAAGGCGAGGGAGTTCGCAACACTGCAGCCCATCAGGAATGCTGAGTACCGACCGGCCTTCAAATGCTGTCTTGTAGCAGCTCAAAGCTCCGCAAAACGTTTTACCAACCTCCCAGTACTTCCTCCACCACCACTACAACCTAGATCACATAACAATCAGGCGGTAGTGAAGAGGTGCTCAAGAGGTATTTGCTATGTCACTCTCGCAATGGTTAAAAACAACGATTAATCTCTTTGAGCCGATATTTGGGGACATACACGATAGATTACGCAGGAGACAAACATGATTCATGGATCATGAATCAAGGCTGTGTGGAAATTACCTCCGTGTTTTCTATGGTCGGCGGTGTGCCCTGCTTGTGAACCTAGTTGTCTTAAGCCACCCAGGGACTCAAGCCCGACGAGAGCTTACTCAACACCCTGCGTGCCTGAACGCCAAACACACCCAGAAATTTCAATTTTCCAAACTCAGCTATCGGCACCGATGGCTCCCCTCCACTCTTCTCCAAGCACGGCGCCGAAAACACCCCCCTGATCCATCTACTCCATCGCACGCTTCAAGCCTTAAACTTCACGGCTCGTCGGCCCCCCAATTTGAAGCTGGAGAAGTTAGCACACGGTCATCGCATAAGGTCCAGTGCCCGGGTTACTCACAAGTCCGGGAAGTTCTCTAAGGGCTTGAAGTAATGCCTGAACGATTCATGATCCGGGAAGATTAAAGGTCGCTTGTGGCCTTGGGGCATGTTGTTGTTGCTGCAGGAGACCATGTCCGTCGACGGGGGCCAGCGCACGCCGCTGACGGTGCGGTCGGTCGCGTACCAGCAGTCGGCGCCGTCTACGTGGCACTGTGTTTTGGGGTCGGTCGTGTTAGCAATAGGAAGGCTCTGAGGGAGAGCAGATCCGTTTCTCCCTCGGGAGGTACAGACGAGGTAGGGGATGGGGGGGTAGCAGTTTGGGTTTTGTGTGTGGGTTGCTGCTTTTCTTGTCCTGTGGGGGTGACATACGAGATACTTGCAAGGCAGCGACCAGTTCGTATCCGGCCTCAGCGTGTTTATCATGACGCACATGTTGGTCTGTTTGTCGCATTTCTGGTAGTTGTCAGTCTGAGGTTTCTTTCACTTTTGGGGGTCGTTCCCCTGCCGCTTGGGAAGAAAGGGGGAGTCTGGGATCGACTTACGCCGTAGAAGATTGTGCCTTTAACGGGATCGGCGTTTGCGCCGATGGCGAGGAGGCAGGCCCCGATAATCACGGATGAGAGATGCATGTTGGTGGGGGTTGCGAGGACGGTGTTGGTGGTGAAGAGTATGCAGATGGGAAGAGGCGGCTGCAAGATTCCCTTCCCTTCTAAACTCTTTTATAGACGTTTGCTGCCTGTAGGCACACTTCTGTGGCTACTGGATAACTCTAACCGGGAAAAGTCCTAGGGCTAGGATAACCTAGGCTTCTCAGAGAGACCTCTATGGCTACGTGTGAGGTAGAGGGCGCGAGTTGCCTTGCCGGGGAAACTCTCTCTCTACAACACTACAACTACTGACTCCCTTCAGCATCAACATGTCGTCCCCATTCTGCATCTGGGGATAGCGGAGGAGAGCCCAGGTTTAGCGGCATGAATATTTCATTCAAGTTCGTTGAAACCCTTGAGGCATCAAAACCTGTCTGTACTTTTGAGCCGTTGATTCCATCGAGGATAGAAAGTTGTTAACCGGGTGCTGGTAAAACTGTACTTATTTCTCTGAGGTTAAGTGTTCTCTGGTTGGTTAACCACAACATCCGTAAGCACACGGACCACCGACAGAGTTGAAGAATTCAAGGTGCGGTCAGGCTTCAGTCCCGAGGGTCGTCAAGGTCAGACAAACTTTTATCGAGCCTGGAGAGAGGTTGAACTGAAGTGTCTGTGACATCATATTTGCCGGGCGCCTTTTGGTGGCTGTCCCGTATGGCCAAGGAATCGTAGGAGCGCCATCGCGGGGCTTTTCGATGTTCTCGGCAACCGTAATTGAACTGATTGCAACCCTGGACCAACATCAACCGTTAGCTGGCCCTGCAACCTAAGCGGATCCCTTGCGAACGAAGCCCGGGCAGGTCGCCTCCATACTTGATAGGACCGCTTGCATTCTGCATCTTCGCCGATGAACAAGCCCCATAAGGGTGCAGACAACCAACATGATGACCCTGATCCCGTCTCTTCCAACATGACTGGGTCAGGGGATCGAATTGCAAGGGGTCAAATCAGTCAATACCCGCAAAGTTGGGACGAACAAGCCATGATTAGACAGTTGCTGTCCCCGGGAGCGCTAGCAGGGACCGGGTCTCTACTCTTTTTCGACGCCGCACGCTAAGGTGCGAACCCTGGTCGGCCGGCCGGCTGGTCTCGGGAAGTCACCTTCAGTCATCCGTTGTTGCATGACAGCTATTTAGCTCGTCTGTCTCGTCGGCAGCAACGGATGACTCAGTTTTGGTGCGGTGGGCATTATTCTAGAGTTTCCAGGACGATGGAAAGTTAAGAAATAACACCATGGTAAGCTCTCAAAGTCGTGCGACTCTCTGGAAATATCTGGCAGGCAGCGGACGCGGGCGAACCAACGTGCATCTGAAGCCCCTTCCGACTTCCTAAAAGCGGTTACGAGCCCGCTCGTGCAGGTGGATATGATACCAAACTGATGAGCTGTTGGCGAACGTTGCATCCCACAACCCGATGGCATGCAGCCAAGCCGCATGCCGGAAGAATCTGCGTCGAGAATTTACGTCCACATATAAGGCGGACTTCTCTCCAATTCTTCACCGACCATGGCTTCTGTTTGAATATTGGGTCTTTGGGACGAATTCGTTGCTTCCTCAAGCCTAGCTTCCATCATGAGGTCTGTTTCTCTAGTCCTTCTGGCTGTCGCGGGCCTCCAGTGCCCCGGCACTGCTGCCTCCCCCGCCAACAACACACACACCGAAGCTTGCACCAATCCTCTCATCAGACACGAATGGCGACAGCTGTCTTTGGAACAGAGGCTGGACTACATCGATTCTATAAAATGTCTGATGGCCCTTCCGTCGGAGGGTAACGATCTGTGGCCCGGGGCAAAGTCCCGATACGACGATTTCCAGGGAATGCACATTTACATGACCAAGCAAGTTCATTTCAATGTCAGTAACGCCCGAGGCAACATACTATCAAATCTATGGTTTGGAAGGAAGTAAGCTGATGGAACCATATAATAGGGACCGTTCCTTCCGTAGGTTCACAAACCCTAAGGGAGTCAGTATGGGCCTCGTGGCTAATGAATAGTAGATGGCATCGCTGGATGCTGTATCTCTTTGAGTCAGAGCTGCGCATCAAATGTGATTTCAAAGGCACCCTTCCGTACTGGGATATGGGGTTAGACAACACCGCCGAGGGCTTCGCCAAGTCACCCGTCTTTGATAACATTTACGGTGTCGGAGGAAATGGGCCGTACATTGCAGATATTACCGATCCGGAGGAGTTCCCTGTTCAGAAACCAATTGAGATCCCGGAGAGATCTGGTGGCGGCAAGTTCACCTTGATTCTTCGCCGAAAACCAGCTAACTTGATGGTGCAGGCTGCGTCCAAGAGGGACCTTTCGCTAACATCACCGTACCCATGGGCCTCGGTACATACTTCCGCTTCTCTTTCGAGATGAAGTCACTGGTTTTGACAATGCTGACTACCTACGCGATGCAGGTTATTCGGTCGAGTCTACACCACACTGCCTCCGCCGGGATTTCAGCCTACCCATTATCACGAGCGCTCTTAGTGATGAAGTCATCAACCGAACCCTGTCCGCGACCTCGTTTGACGAGTTCAACCTGCATATTCAGGGATACAGTATGCAGGTTAGCGGAATGACACTGCACGCGGGAATGCACCTGGGAATCGGTGGTGCAGTTGGGGATGTAAGCCACCTTCCGTACCTACTTAAGCTGTCAACTGGTTGCTGGTGACTTTCATGAGCTAATTCAAGATCATCCGACAGGTTGCTGATATGTATTCGTCGCCTGGCGATCCCGTTTTCTACTTCATTCACGGAGCTCTGGACAAGATCTGGAACGAGTGGCAACGCATGGGTAGGTGACCTTCTGTTTTCAGAACCTGCGTCTCTCACGTTCCGACCTATTGTTCCCCTCACCCTAAGCGGATTTGAGCTTTTTGGGGATTTGTTGCTGACAGTTAGATTCTCAGACTGGCCCGCTCGTAAGACGGACATTGGTGGACCTGACATCATATGGGCGTACCCCTTCAACTTCTTCGGAGATGTTGCCTATGAGAACATCACTTTGCAGTACCCTTTATCATTCCCGAACTTCAGTGGGAATATGACTGTTGCGGACATGATGGACATCTATGGTGGCCCCTTTTGCTACGAGTATAGATAGGTCAAACAGTCTGAGCTTCTCACCACGGTGATCAATTTGCTTTCAAGACTATTTTTGCAATTCACTTCTAATTGGGGCCCGGCATACCTTCCCGGCCGCTGCAGCTTTTCCTTCTAAGTTGACACTCACCTTAAGCGACTGTATGTGACAAGATACCTTTTTTGGACCACATGCTACATTCTATCCAATCATTAGAGGTCGTCACATAGGTATGCAAGCAAAGCCAGAATTAGGGAGAAAGCTAGGATGACTAGAATAAATGTCTCAGACTTGGCCCTTGCAGCTGCAGGAGGCCGACAAAGCGACCCACTTAATTCATTGAGACCACACCCAGATGGGAATCTGGCAGATGAATTGAAAAAGTGTTGGTAAGAAGCGTATTAAAACGCAGGTTTGCTTCGAGCGAGACGACACTATCTCACAGATTTCAGCTCCATCTTCTTTTTCGCTATGGCCTACACCTTGGAGGAGCGTCAACGGGTCTACCGGACCTGTAGGGCCATTTTCAGCGGTGACGCTGCTCTCTTGCGCAGAAAAAAAAAGATCAAAGAAACCCTTACTCTCAATCGCAGCCCTCTTAAACACGTATTCGAAGAATTTGGCAAAAGCAAACTCACGGACATAGTGAAGCAGTTGCTGGAGGGTCGAATTTTCGAGTCAGATCTGCGAGCCAAAGTTGAGTTTCCTGAGCTTTTCAGGACATCCCCGCAACGAGATGCTCAACGAGAAGCATCGGAAGCGGATGCGGCAAAATCAGTCGCGGATTGCCTCGGTGAGATTGCGCGCTCTGAAGAACAGCAACAGGTTCCGGAGGCGAATGGTCCAGAGTTTCTCACAAGACCGTTGAAAGATAAAGTTAGCGACGGAGGTCGGTCATAATCCTTTCCACCCAACTTGCACAGCTCGTCTCACATTTTACCACAGATATTGCTCGGCTACCTGCCTCGAACAATTCTTCTGTACCGTCACTTTATCCTTCCTATGTGCCATATAGTGCACAGCACGCCATTCTCACTACAGCTCAGACGGTCTTGGAGGAATGTTGCTTTGACTTCGCCAGCAGAGTCATTCCGCACGTCCTTGTCGAGAGGGGATGGGATTGCGCATCTGCGGTGGAGTTGAGCAAGTGGGCGAAAGTCCTCCACGAAGAGCTGCATGCTGGCTTGCAAGGCCCGCCAGGAGTGTCTGTCCAGTCGGCATTGATTTCAACACATGAACTGCGACATACAGCCGTCCATCGACTGCCCACCACAGCTCGCGGTATTAGTCGGCTTCTAGAGTCGGCCGTGGAACTTGCAGAGGTTCTGAATGACGTCCCTCGCGCCGCTCAATTAGAGGAGCTGAAGGCGGAGTTGGATATGAAGATCAAAGCCATGGAGCTTAGCAAGAACGTATTGGAAGATCGTGCGGCAAATGGGTTGGAAGAAATACGTCGCCAGAGAGAGGAGCTCGATCGCCAGGAAAAGCAACTCATATTGGACATGTTGACCGAGGACCGCGAATATAAGCAACTGGTTGGAAATCTCCTTGTGGCGTCAGTCAAGGACATCTTTGAGGACAGGACCGATTCTGGATTGGGCAAGGAGGAGGAGCATGTGAATGGGGAAGACAATGCCAACGGCGCCAAACTTAGCTCAGCGGACGAGAGCGATGACGATCCGGATCTGTTCCTGCAATAACCTTGAACATGGCCCATCAGGCAGATTTCTGTCAAGACTCGGTAGATCGAACAACACAAGACTTTCTCATGCTAAATGAAGTTCAAATATTGAGCAAACCTTGTCGATAAAGCTAAGTATGAGATCCGAAGCAGACTTAAAGTCGCCAGTGTGAACGACTTCAAATCCAAGGCCCCTCTGTTAAACTAGAAGTTCCGTACTTACAGAGAGCCAGGAGACCCAGCCAAGCGCAGTAGGTATTGCGGTTCTGCTAGAAGGAGGCGAAATTTTACGACAAGAAGGTTAGATCAAACCAGGAACAAATCGTTTAGTCGCAGAATGCCATCGCACCCACTTCTCTCCGAAGGTCTTCTTCAACATTTCCTCCTCGTCTTGTACCCTTAGCGAAACCTTCCTCATTATAATTAAGGCCGCGACACCATAGCAAATCAAACCCCATCCATCCAAGCGAGCCCGCAAGCTTCGGGAAATCCAACACCCGGCAACCCCATCCCAGCGGAACAAGTAAGCCAGGTTCGCCAACAAAACAAGCACTTGCCCCGTGTAGCCCGGATGTTGGATATATCGATACACTCCCGTCGTGGTAAGCCCGCTTGGCTTAGCGAGCTGAAACGTGAAATTCCTCCCAAGCTGGGCGAACGCTAGAAGGCGAAGAGGCGCACCGATACCAATGATGAGAAACAAGCAGGTGGTCGAGTATCCGTTCCACTCCAAGAGATGGCGATTGACATTTTCGGGGTTGCGGCAAATGTAGTTGGTCGTTGGAGACGAGAACGCTATAATGGCCTGGGATATGCCAATGGCCACGGTCACAACGCGTCGCACGAATGATGCTTTGGGCGTTGCCCAAATGCCGAGACGGTCTTTCCCCCATTTATCTGTTGCCTCATTTGGGGCTCTGGAGCAGAGCGCTGTGAGGATGCTGGCGATGATTACAGCCGTTGAGAATGAGAGGGTCTGCCAGGAAGACATGGCTGTTGCGTGTGTGGTGCCGATTCTAGAAAGTGATGGCAAGAAGTGTTTCAATAAATACTTTGGATGATGGATACTTACTAGATGAACGGGTGGGAAATGAGCGCAGAAGATATACGTTCGTGGTCTGAAACGACTTCGCCATGTGAACCTAGGCCGAGGCGGCGCTCGGAGAATTGAATGCCGTCTCCGGTCGGCGTTCCGGCGTTCAATACCGGTCTATCCGGCTCTCGGTCCCACTCCCCCGCTAACGTCAACTCTTAACTTGCACTGTCGTCATCTCCGTCTCCGGCTGAGATATCGTTACTTTGAATGACTTGTCGGATATTTACTGGCATTGAAGGCACAGTAGAATATGCAATCCCGTAAACGACATGCCCAGTACGGCACGGCTTGTTCTGAGTGCTCAAGGATCAAATCCCGCTGCATCGCCACTTCTCCGGGATCGCCCTGTGAAAGGTAGCTTTCGACCTATTTCAATCGGAAATGGTAACTCACCTTGGTCAGATGTCAACGCCTGGGAAAGGAATGCGTCGCATCGAATAACAAGCGGAAGCAAAAGAGCGCGGCATGCGACGGGCCGTCTCAATCCAGTCAATTGGAAGCAAAGATTGATGGCTTGGTCTCTCTAATCACAAACAACACCCATGCAAAATCTATTGGATCAGTGCTGAGCTCAGGTAACATTTCGCTGCCAGTGACGCCATCGCCGCAGGCCGACAGTGACCTACTCTCCTATGTCATCGGGCTTTGCTCATCAATCAACGAAGACAACATCCTCTTAGACTTTACTCAAACTCATCACCCTCATCTCCCCTTCCTATCTCTCCCATTTAATCAATCCCCAAGCTCACTGCGCCAAGAAAAGCCCTTCCTCTGGCTCTGCATCGTTGCCGTCTCCCAGGCCCACACACTCCCACAAGCAGTACTCAACGACAAGATCCGGAGTGTAGTAGCGCACCGCATGGTTCTAAACCTAGAACGAAGCCTGGAGCTCCTCCAAGGCCTCCTCATCTGCATAGCATGGTACTCGCTCAACACACCAAGCATTCCGCCTTGGTCATTATCTTGGACACTGCTAACGATCGCTCTATATTCAAGGGGCAACTTCCAAGTCCACCAACGCCCATTCCTAACCCTTTTCACCCAGCTTGCAAACACAGTCGTCTTTGATATGGGGTTGAACCAACCGCCGCAGACTATCTCCGAGGCAATGCTACGGCTGACCATCCATCGGCCATGGGTATCTGCAAACCGCACGGTCGAGGAACAGAGAGCTGCAGTTGCTTGTTACTATTTAAGCTCTGTGTAAGTTCATCTTTTGTCCTTTTGATAATAGCGAAAGGCTTGGCTAATAAGACGATGATAAGAGTGTCATCATACATGCGTCGAACAGACAGACTCCTCTGGACGCCCTACCTGGGCGTCTGTCTGGAGGACCTGTCAACCACTAATGTATCTAGAGACCTCACGCTAGTATCGATGATCAAGACTCGCCAAGTCCTGGAAAGGGCCTTTTACTCCCCTCCAAGCTCACCTACATCAGCTCCGGAGATTCCAGCAGACTTCGTCGCTGCGATGCTGCACACCGAACTGGACAAACTCTGCGCGAGCCCTGCTGAAAACCCTAGTAAGACGCCTCAGTACCTTGAGAAAACCCCTTGAGAAAACCCCAATGTCAACGACTGACGCCAATTAATAGTAATATCATGCCAAATAACCTACGCCTCTTTCGCCATCTCTGAATTCGCCCTCACTCTTGCCTCTCCAGACCCGCAGCATTTGCACAAAACATATCAGGCCCTCGAGTCCTACTTCAAAATCTTCCTAGCATTCCAGCCCAACGAGTACCATGGCTTCACACTAGCGGAGCTGTACCAGCTGATGCACGCAACCCTCTCGACGCGCAAACTTGTATCCCAGCTTGCAACAGGCGCCTATGATGAGCGGCGCGTGGGAAGGCTCGAAAGCTGGTATCAACAGGCGCGCAACAACCTCAAAGATGCGTCGACGTGTCCAGGGGCAAAGGCAGATGGGAGGGCAGCTGTGTTTGGCAAGTTGGCTGGCATGCTAGAGACTTTCGGCGGGGGCGAAATGGAAGCATCGAGACATCCAACAGATAATGGTTTTGATATAGGCGGGGTCGCAAGCGACATGGTTCCTGGGGAGGATTGGTTGGAGGTGATGGATCAGTTCGGATGGACGTTTTGAAACGTTTACCTGCCCTCTACTGTGATCCTCTGGGGATAGTTCGCGGTACAATGTATTGAAATTATCAGGATACATGTATCTATTACGTGGATAATTCCTTAAAGAATCTCGTGATCATTTGGGGAATCATGGGCGAAGGACTAGCCCTATAATTTCTAGCTGATCTCAAGCCTACTTACACATGTTTGGGGCTGTATTGGCCGCATACTAATTTATTCAACTGGGCTTGAATGGTAAGATTCAAGCCAACGGCTGGTTGATCCATCGTTTTGTGATTGTTGGACTAGACTCACGGTTCTTTTATAACTTCCTTCTCTTTTTTGATCTCAAGATATCAGGTTTCTTCAGCCGCAATTGTGACTTCATCGCTATCTTGGTTATCCAGTTGAATTCAATGTCGCAATATTCCATGATATTGCGTCCCATACCTGTGTCCGGGGTTGTTGGTTGGTTGGACTGAGCCCGCATAGAATCCCAGAGCGAATTGCGGGTCGTTTGCGATATCGATCCGGCTGAGCAAACGCCGCGCCCAAAACCCCTCATCCCAACAACCGAAGCCTCCATCTGCAAGTTCTCTCTCACGGTCCGCCTAGTCTTTGCCCAGGGCCACACCAATCCAAACAAGGCTACACCACTCAGCCTACCATGCGACCGTATACTTATCTCCCATTGTTGCCCGAGTCCATCCGTTTACTTCGCTTGAAGCCTCATGAAGACAGAGACGCCCCATTGCAATGCGAGCTCTTTCATTATCCCCTAAAGGACGAAAGAAGAGGAGCCCATCTCTACGAGGCTCTGTCCTACTACTGGGGGGCTCCCGACAAAAGCCAGAAAGTGTTCACTGACCAAGGGTATCTGGACATCACCGCTAGCCTGCACGCGGCGCTCGCACGTCTTCGGGACCCTTTTGTCGAACGCATCATATGGGCAGACGCAATCTGCATCAATCAAGAAGATACCGACGAGAAGGGGCATCAAGTCCAACGTATGGAAGAGATCTACGCTAGAGCCAACCGTGTCGTTGTCTGGCTGGAAGATGCTGCCGGCGACCGTCAGAGCGACAATGAGTCGGAGGATGTCAGCTACCGCGCACTCCAGACCATCGGTCTTGCTGCCAACGGGTCGTTCACAGGCAGATTACGCAATAACCAACACGGCGAAGCTGTCGTAAAGCTACTTCGCCGGAACTGGTTCAGACGCATTTGGGTAAGGCATCCAACGGGGGGGACAAGATTGCTTCGATTGACAACATCTGTTAGATCCTCCAGGAGGTGGCCGCCTCTCGTAATGTGCTCATCATGTGCCATGCCACCGAGATAGACGGATATGCATTCTGTCAGGGTCTGAGTGTGTTGGATCTGAGCGCGTTGGACGATATCACACAAACACGCGTTCGCTCGGCCGCCTACCTCATCAAGTCTGCAGTTCTCCGGCCCAAACGTGCACTCCACACCAACGGGGGCTTCTCTCTACGAATACGCACTCTGGGGGAACTGACAGATTTGTATCACACGCAAAACGCAACAGACCGCCGCGATAAGATTTACGCTCTGCTGGGAATGAGCACCGATGCCCCTCCCGAGTTAGTGCCTGATTATCGCATATCGTGGCAAAGCTTGTTCTCCCGGCTCTTGAGAAGCCTTCTCTCCGAAGACGCCTCGATCTCGACCTGGGAGAGCCATGAGACTGCGCTGATCCAGACCAAAGGCCGTATTCTGGGTGCCATAGAGTCCGTGCTCATCGAAAATCCTTGGGCCTCTGTCCAAAGGGTGAAAGCCGGGTTGCCAGTTGGGGACGGAGAAAATTGGACTATCCAGGCCTCAGCAAAGCCTGTCCAAAAAGGCGACATCATCTGTTTGCTACAAGGGGCAACGCAACCCACAATCATCAGGGTTTACGATGACTACCGTCTCATCATCGTGATGGCTGTTGACGCGAAAAGCCCAATCGAATATCCCAACCCTCCCGACGCTTATCTGGGCGTGACGCGATCCGAGGTCAATCTTCTCCTCGTGTGGGACTGGCAAGCTTCTCACGGCAACTCTGGGACTGAAAGTACCTTGAATGATTTCCTGAAGGGTCAATCAATTGACTATGCAGGATCCGAAGAAGGATTCCGCTTTATGGAAGTAGGGCTGCTCTTTCTGGACATGGGTCAGCACACGATGGCCATTTCTCGATTTTACTCGGCAATAGCCGCTCACGAAAAGGCCTCCAAGCTGAATTGCGCCGACGCTCTGCTAGCTATGGATCATCTTATCTGGGCTTACCGCGACAGGGACGAGCGCGAAGACGACAAGAGGATCGAGGCCGTGCAGGAACTGGCCAACATAGCTAGAGGGAGCTACGACAACGCAGAAGAAGGCCAGATCATTCGCCTTGCGTCAGTTCTCGGCACCTACGCCATGGAGGTCTTTCTCAGAGCCCAGGGAGACCATGTCGAAATCACAGAGAATATCCTCGTCGCAGCAGCGTCGAATATTTACTGCGGCAAAGACATGATGTTAATTCTTCTGGATCACGGAGAAAACATCGTCATTACCGAAAACGTGCTCAAAGCGGCTGTCGAGAATTCAGACAACGGCGAGGACGTGGTGAAGCTCCTTTTCGAGAAAAGGGGGGACCAAATAACCATCACAGAGAGTATTCTCTCGGTGGTTACCAGACATACGACGAACATTTCGGCGAGAATGTTAACAGTTCTCTTTGCATGGGAAGGGTGCAATGTTCAATTAAGCTGTAATGTTGTTGCGATCATCTTGCGGTTGGTAGGACTACGATGGTACAAATCTACTTTGGAGGAAATCCTTGAACTTCTCCTCATGCGGCAAAATGGTCAAATCACCGTCACCAGGGAACTTGTCGACATGATTGTCGACCGACTCGAGCCTGATCTCAAATGCAATCATGAAGACAAATACTCTTGCATGGAATATCATAGCAGCAGACTTGGTGTTAGCGGGGATTGTGAAATTGTGTTAACAACGTTGCTGAAATGGCAAGGAGGCCAAGTCGTCATCGCTGAGGATGCTGTGGAGGCAGTCAAAGAGGGTTCTAACGTCATAGATAGATCCCTTTCGGACCAGTGCCCTTGGGATTACTGAAAAAGACGGTTGCAGCTACTGAGATGAGCGTGAAGGATATATTTGTCTTCACCTAATTTGGTTAGTTGATTTAGTCGTTGAACGTTATGCAATTTCTGTCGTATATCATTTACAGTTAGTCCATACTCATTAAGGAGTTTTGCAAGCCGGGCAGTGTCTGTTAGCTAATAAATTCACCAAGTAAGTCCACAATCTATGACACGAATTCGGTATAACATCACTCGGACCACGCTAGAATAAGAGTCTGCCTGAATCAATATCACCATTCGGCAATTCGGATAGCCTGGCACCAGCTAAATCCCAAGCACTACCACTAAGATAGGGGGCACTAGAACACACTCCGCCATTGCACTCAGCCAGCCTACGTTCCTTACATCCGCTTCCATGCTGTTCCCTCAAGACTGCCACCGCCGCGAAGCCAGGAGCTGGGTGTGACACCATGTGGTTGGTTGCGGATTGATAGGAACCTCACTTGTTGAAGGTGAGACGGTGAGGTCAAGTTGCCACAGACAAGTATACGAAGACCAATTATCTCCTGTCATTAATGAAGGCAGGAAATCGGCTGAGCTCTGCCAAGCATCAACTCGAGGCATAATGCAATGGCAATGCCGTGGTCCATGTCAACGGTGGCGTTCAACTTGAGACAAATCTTTACTGAGCAGCTGTCGTTCCTACCGCAAATGGACTGCGTCGAAAGCACCGCAATGAAAGTTACTCACCAAACGAGATACTAAGTGGTGTGGAGAGTTGAAATTGCAAATCTTTTTCATTGTTGAATGCAAAGAGGAATTATGTTCCCGTTGCCAATGAAACTCCGGGCCTATGTATGATGCCGCAAAAAAAGGAGATAGGAGTCGTAGCTAATCCGTCCCAAAAAGAAATGACAAACAAAACCGACTTCGACACAATTGGATATCCACGACGTCCATCTCATGAGTTGCGCTAAAGTCCTTAAGTCACTTGACCAAGGAATGCCATTCCCTTAACCTATACGCCAGAAAACCCACATTGGTTCATACCGTGCCTCCCTCTAAGTCTGCTTCGCCTCGCGGAGGTTTCGCAATAATAAAATCGCTCCCCGGCGGACTGCAACTGGGAGTCCGAGGCTCCTATGCCCCGCCAGCGCTTGCCGCCATGGGCTGCTTGGCTCTGCGACCAAGCAATGTTGCGCCGTCGAGGTTTAGCTCGAAAGCGCCCTTCTGCCTGTTGCGATCCCTGACCTGCTGGCGAGCTGCGGCGGTAACTGCAGCAGAGTGCTGGCCGTAACCCTTCTCGGTGTGGTGTGCTTGCCGTTCGCGTTCGCGTCCGCGCTGCTGCTCTTGTTGATCCTTAATCTGGGCGTTGCGCATGCTCTGCTCCAATGCTTGCGTTGCCTGCGAAGGCTTGTGCACATATTCCGCGTCCTTATCTGGCATCTCCTGGTCCTCATCCTCAGACTCTTCGTTAAGGTTGTTGAGGAATCGAGCGGGGACACCGCCCTTGGCACCAATCTGCTTGCGCCTCTTGGCCTCCTCCTCTTGTCTGTGGACAGCGTAACCAACATCAAAGACCTCGCGCAAGTTGACGGCTCCAGGAGATCGGAAGTCGTAGCGGCGTTCACCATCAGTGAATTTGGACGCGTCGAACGCACGAAGCATCTCGGGCTGTGCCTTCTTCTCCTCACGGGGTGTCGGGCCTAATCCCTTGATCCACGGGTGAGCCAAAAACTCTGTGATGGTGTATCGCTTCTCCGGGTCGACGGTCAAGAGGTGGGAGATGAGATCCTGCGCGGACTTGGAGATGTCGTCCCACCAAGGGGACAGGAAAGTGTACTGTCCCTTGGCAACCTTCTCGGTCAAGACCTCGATGCTCTCGTCGTAGAATGGCGGGAAACCGCAGAGCAGGGTGTACAAAACGCAGCCCAGTGCCCACATGTCGACAGACTTGGAGTACCGCTCATCCTTGACGATCTCGGGAGCTGTGTAACCGACCGTTCCACAAGGCGTCATTGTCTGATTGTCCCAGACGATCTTGGAAAGGCCAAAATCGGCGATCTTGATCTGGCCGATGCCGCCAGCGCCAACACCGGGAATGAACTCGCCCTCGTCGACCTTGTCTTCATCACCAGGCTGCTTAGGCTTCGGGTTTTTCGACGGAACGATAGGAATCGGGCTGAACAAAATGTTCTCGGGCTTGATGTCGCTGCGAGAAGAGTTGTCAGCAATCGCCACAGAGATGACGTCAATGCATCACAGGAGTCATATTCCGTCGTTTCGCCCCACACAATGAGCGGATTTCAACAGAACAATCCGCAGTACTACTTACCGGTGAACAACGCCTCTCTCCTCGTGCAAGTATTCCAAGGCCTTGGCCACCTGGACGATAACATGCCTTGAAAGCTCCTCGCTGAAGTAGGTGAGTCGAACGATCTGGTGGAAAAGCTCGCCACCAGGTGCCAGTTCCAGGATGATGTAGTAGTATTGTCTTGATTCGGAGAAATCGATGAGCTTGATGATGTTGGGATGGTCCAGCTGGCGCATAATCTGAACCTCTTTCAGGATATTCGCTCTCTGGCCTCAGGTCAGTAACGGCGTCTATGATCTATATGGAGGGCCATCCTCCGAACATTGAACAGAGCAACAAATGAGTCGAAGAGAAAATGAGGATGGCCCGATGTGTAAACAAATGAAATATTGAAAAGTTTCGCACCTCTGCGGCTTTGGGGACTTTCTTGAAGTCCGGGTGAAGATGCTTGTTACCCTAAATCGGCCTGTGTTGGTATGGAGTGATTGGAAAAACCAACGTACGAAAAACAAATGCACGAAATAAAAAAACAAGAAAAACATGGCTGCGGCCGAAAACCACCCAAGCATCAACTCACCTGCATGCTGTTCATTTCGTACTTGCGGACGACCTTGATGGCGCATTCGCCGCCATGCTCGCCTGTTGTGTCTTTCGCGCGGTAGACATTGCTGAAGGCACCGTCGCCCATCTTCTCTACCAGTTCCCATCGCTCGAGGCCGGGGTATCTTGGGAACTTGCTCTTGCTCTCGTTCTCTTCGGCGATGATCTTTGCGAGGTGCGTGTTGTCGATATTCTTAGACTTGGCCTTGTTCTGGTTTGGCTCGACGGCGTGGGCAGCGACATGGCCGGCTTGAGCGGCGCGGTTCTGGCCGTCACCAGCAACCGAATATGCGTCGGGAACGGCTGCCGCCGGGGGAGCGCCGACGTGTGCTGGCTCGGAGATACCCATGTGTGCCTTTGGTGGAGGGGAGTTGTGTGACTTTGCTACCGCCTCGTCATTGTTCGCTGCGCGGGCTTGCTTGCCTACAAATATTGTCAGTCATGTTTCACTAGAGAGCAGCGAGTGGAATTTTGAGGGTTGCTGTTGCCAAACAGCGGTCGCGAGAAGAGGCGGGGAGACGAATAAGGGGCAGCAGAGAATATCGTACCGTGGCGGATGAAGTTCTTGAGTTGTTGTATCGTCGACATGTCGGCGGAGGGGGTCACTGATGGGCAGCGACGGGAATATGAAGGTATTCGCGGGGTTGTATCGGTGTTCGCAGGTCGCAACGAGTGGCAGCGTGATCAGTCTCGCAGCCCCGGATTGAGGGGTGTCTCTTTCTTGTGATTGGTAATGCGGAGCGAGTACGAGTCGTGGAGAGGAGACGAGCTCTGTGCAATGTGCTACATGCAGTACCAGCCAGGTGGTTGTGGAATGGAAGTCGACTCGGGAGGACAGGAGAAAGTATCGAGAGAGGGAAAAAATGCAAAGTTGTTTCTTTGATGTTCGGGGGGAAAGGGCGGCTGAAAGGGAGAAATCGAAGCGAAAAGTAGAGATTTGTGGACTGCGGGCTGGGTGGTGGTGATGTTGCTGAGGGGCAACGTGGACTCGGATGACGGAAGTTGGAGGAACAGGACGATCGGGCGGGAAGCGGGCTGGAGCACGTTTGTCTGCGGCGTCTGGAATTGGAACTGGGCCAAAGCAGGCGTAGCGTCGGCGGCGTGCGTGCAAGGACAGGTCGGTAGCGTAGCGTGTATTTTTTGCCCTTGGTGGTGAGGTAGGTAAGGTTGTTTAGCGCGGTGCTGCGTAATTGAGAGCGAGACCAAGCTGGGTGGGAAGGGGGAATTTGTGACCGGGGGGGTGGAAGGTTTAGGTAGACAAGGCAAGGGCCAAAGCCTGGCGATGACGGTGTGCGGTGCGCAGCGACTGGATTTTGGGTCCTCGGTAAAGGTGACCGATGATGACAGAGGTGGGAAGGCAGCGTAAGATTGAGGTGTGTGAGAGACGTGGAGGGTGTGAGTGTGAGGGTAGGTATTTCGAGTGTGTGGTGTGGTGTGGTGTGTGTGGGAGATTGTGAGGTTCTGGAGACTGGACTGGTTCAGTTCTGGTGCAGATGTGCAAGGTGCAGGTTCAGGTTCGAAGGTCGAACAAGTCGAGGTATCCGTACAGGGACGAGGGGGGGAGGTGCAGCCAGACGCCGGGACGGGAGTGAGGTGCAATGGAAGTTGGAAGGCGCGCGAGAGTCGGGTGCGAGGAAGAGAGGGAGAGGAGGAGTGGGAGAAGAAAGGGAAGAGCAGACGAGGATTCAGTCAGTCTCAGTCATTCTTTCATTTGGCAGGAACAGCAGCACCGGGCAGTCAGTCGCCAGTGGCATCAGTGGGGAAAGAGCAGCTGGCGCAGGAGCAGGAGCAGGAGCAGGAGCAACATCAACGACAACCTCAGTCAATCAAGTCAAGCAGGAACGCCTCAGTCAGTGCACAGACACAGACAGCCTCACAAACAGACAGCAAGAACCTCACTCGCGATTGGGAAGGCGACGCGGGCGGAGGCCTTCTTTCCTTCCTTTCCCCCTCAAGCCTTGCCTCAGTATTTTTTGCTGTTTCTTGCAGTGCTGTCTCATCCTTGCCAGTCAGTCAGTCAGGTGTGGTGGGCTGCGCATTTGCATCCGCGCCAGCCTGCACCTGCACCTGCAGCGTCGCCCCAAAGCGGGTCATTTCTTCTGGACGCTTTGATGGCTGAATGGCTGCAGCAGGCGCATTTCTGGGCACTTTCCAAGATGGAAGGCAGCATGGGACTCGGGAGCCCGTCGGTGCAGGCAGGTACTTTTCTCGCTCTTCCCTCGCAGTAACTGGCAACTGCTCCTCGTACCTGCCGCCTTCCTGCTCATTCATCATGAAGTCGTCACGAGGAAAGTACCTCCTGGGTGTTCCTTCCCTTCGGCTGCTGACTGATCAGCACCTTCCGCATCCCCAGCTTCTTTCTTCTCAGATAAGGCACCGTGATGTTTTCATCAAAAACCGGGCGTTTCATGATCGGATTGCTTCCATCATCGGTGGTCACTCCGAACCCCAGACCCATTCGGTCACTTGCCGGGACGGACCCAGGATTGGGCGTGTTGGGCAGGGTACAGGCAACAGGCAAGCAAGGGGTTTTGGAGGTTCGGAACCGGACGCCAGCAATACAGAGTACCTCCTAGGCATTTCTTGCATCCCGCGGAAACCAACACCTGGGACGGGCACATTGCTGCACCACTTCAGCAGCATCTTCAGCACTTCCACTTCCCTCCCAGAGTGCCAGACATGAGACGAGGCAACATGAAATCCTGCAGCACAAGACACATCACTGCGGCACTGCCCGGATAGGCCACCATCTTCTGCTAATGCCAGTTCGTACCAGCTTGATAGGTAGTGTACGTGTACTGCCGGATATCAGGGGCGTCAATGGCGCTAGCCTCCCGTAGCGTCGACTGGACGCAAAGGGGCATCGCAGACATCATGTATTGGCGCCTCTGACGGCAGTGTCAGATAGAGCGACAAAGCCAGCGATGCTGGATCTTGGCAATGGTCTACAAATATCCGACATCTCCAATCCGTCTTTCAAAACACCACAGCGCAGGGGCAGGGGCCGCTGGCGATGCAAAAGGAATTTGGCGACTGGAGAGTGCTATTTTCCCTCACTCCCCCATGTTTTCCGATCTCCCATTTCCATGTTTTCAGTGCAGCCCGCATGCTTCTTTTTCTTCTGCTGCTCGTGCCGCCTTGTCTGCTCCTCCCACTCCCACTCCCACCCACCACCACCCAGAATTGAGTCCCCAGCAGCCGGTTGCAGCCAGGTTCAGGTGCTTAGCCCCAGCTTAGGCTGCTGGCCGCCGTCCATGATCAGTGGCTCCTTCCCACTCGCTTGGATGGGGGGCCCCCGTAATGACGTCTTCTCCATCGTCATGTCCGCAAGTGGCAAGGATGTCATCGAAGAAGACGCCGCATCATTGGGGGGTAATAGTGGGGCAGTCCTCTTGCCTCAGGCCATTGGGCTGCCGCAGGCCAGGCCCATGATTCATTCCCTCTCCAGGCCATCCCATCTTTTTTCTGCCGTTGCCCATTTGCCCTGGCTTTGCCTGGCTTGGTTCCATGTTGCATGCCCAGCTCTTGCAGGGATTCTCGGTCTTCAACTTCACACTCCTCTGAACATCCACTCCGATGTCTCCCTTCAGCTTCAAGGCCCGTCCAGCCGTCCGTCATCCCGCATCGTTGCTTCCGTTCTGTTGGTTGATGCCGCCAATCATCCCGTGTTTTCAGTCTGCCGCGCCGAAACACCCCGCGACTAACCACATGCCTCGAAATGACGATGCGCGACGATGCGCAAGCCACGCACGCCACTCTCATTTCACTACCGACTACCACGACCACGATGTACCGAAGGGTACCGTCGATGCCGTTGTCTAACCATCTGGAGACACGTCTCCGTCTCTATCTCCGTCCCGAGAGAACTACAATGTCTTGCTCGTCCATCCCGCCGTCATCCACGCGACGACGCGGGAACTATGTTGCTTCTCCGTCACGATTGGTTTGGTCGCGTTCTCGTACGCTCGGGCTCTACATTTACCTGCCTAATTCTACCAAAAGTGACCTCACAGCATCCAGGTTTCCCTTCTCCAACTGCTTCTCCAACTGACCCAGTGCGGCTCACCTCGTTCGCTGTGCCGCCGAGGCCCTCACCTCGGACCTGCAGCTGGCAACCACCACCGCCTCTGACCATCGATCGCATCGTGGTCTTCACTAACGATAGCTTCAAGCACCTGCTTTGAGGTCACGGATCAGATACGCACCAGACACGCTTTCAGCATTCCGATCCCAGAGACAAAATCGCCGAGAGCGCCTCATGGATCGGTCCAGACCCCGCCCCGCTCGAGCCAACCCCCTTTCGTCATCAATCCTGGCCAGCGTCTATCGCCGGCGACTCGGCGATGCCCTGAATGCCTGCCTTGCCTTGAACCTCAAGGACCCTTTCTGCAGCAATGGCAGCCACACTCCCTTTGATACTAGCCACCCCTCGGGATGCAAGTGTCTCGCCGCTTCTCAACGTCGTCAAATCTCGTCCCGTTACGAGACATCTTGCCAGCGGCTCTTCCCATCGCTTCGCTCAGCATTCCACGGGCTCTATGCTCCATTCTTCGATGCGAATCGAAGCAGAATCTTACCTCTCGGGAATCTGGCCGCTCTGACCTTGCAGTAGTAGCTGGTTGATGCTCAGATTTCAGATTCTCGGTCGCAAATTCCGGGTTCTTCGTGTTGCACCCATGTTGGACCTGCCTTGGCTGGCCAATGCGCGTGACCTCACCTCTGGGGAAGGCATCCGCTTCACTGCCAGGCTTCAACACCAATCACAGCCTGTATATGACAGCGCATTGGATAGTCGCCTTTCTTCCAGCTCTCTTGATGCTGTCGATTCAATTTTACTTCAAATGTGAGCTTCATCAACCAAATACACGCCTCAGTCGGGGTGGCCTGCGGTGGCCTGCGGAAAGCCTCGTCATGTCACGAAGTACGAAGTGCAGTATGCGGTTCAGAAGCCAACCATTTGATGCAACACCTCGTCGTTCTCTTCGCGAAATGATCGTCGTCAGTTGGAACACCCCCCTTGGTTGACGGCGCTCTCAGCTCCCCCTAGTGCTGCATTACTGCAGCTGCCCCGAGTCGCAAGGCACCTTCCACACCATGCAAAATCACACTTGACGTCATTCTGCCGATTGACCAGCATGCCTTCACACACGCTCGCACAAGGAGGTGGACAAGAAAACAGCACAAGGCTGACGTCGGCACGTGGCTGGCCATCTGATGAGGACATGAATTCGTCAACCGATTGGCCATCACCGTCTCAGACAAACGGGCGTGAATCACTTCTCAGATGACCGTTTCGGCGTCATTAATCAGCGAGCCACACCCGCGGCTCGTCTTCTGAAACGAAGATTGCCTCCCTGACGTCTTGATCGCCCTTCGTTATCGTCCTCGCAGCGTGGAAGCAATAGCAAACCGTTTAGACACGTCGGAACCCGTTTGCCTTGGCTTTGCCGCTTCCGCGGAAGATGTCATCAAACCGTTTCCACATTCGCGCGGCTGCAATGTCCACAATGAAGTCATTGTGGTCAGGGCGGGCATTGCCCAGCTTGTTTTCCTCCCTTGTAACATGTGTCTGCTTTTCCCAGGAGCTCGGGACAGCTCAGACCAAACGTCCTCGGGCCAACGTCTGCCATTGATGTTTGTCACTTGTCAGCTCATGCGCCAGGGCAGCATTATAGATGAGTAGCATTAGCATTGGAACTTTGCCCAGGTCGACGGAGCCCTATTCGCTCCCACAACCTGAAATTTCCCAAGGTGATCGTCACACCAACACCCCCGCCGAGGGACCGAGGGCGGCTCCGATGGGGGGCTCTCCTCCACACGGGAGCAGGCATGTCTCGTCCCGCGAATCGACGCCGATGAAGGGGACCCGTACGGATGCTCCAAGCCGCGCCATCATTGTCTGATGAGAGTCCCACAGTTTAGCCTTTGAGGTCCCTCCAAGGTGAACATGCCCGGGGGAGTGTTGCGTTGGGCGCATGAGGACCGCTGCCCAAGTGACGATCGTTGGGAGTGGGTGGTGCTGGACACCGGTTTCTGGGCGGATTTACTTGGGCCATGGTGTGCCTCGGATCATGGTTCTTGCGAGTGTGGCAGGGTCATGGTAGGTTTGACGTCGGAGAACTTGTTGTGCTTGCATGTTGGGTTGCTAAAGTGAGGTAGATAGGGCTCAGATGTTGCAGTGACCTGTCGAATATTGCTCAACAACAAGCACCTTTCAGGTGTCGAAATTTGGTCTTGTCTGCCTCGTGAAATGTGTGTAGAACTGTGACGTGAGATGCTGGAATGTCAGTCTTTGGCTTTGGTGCTGATATTTCCTGACATATGCTATATGACAGATGCCGTCTGAACAAGTTTGCGTTCATTTACTCAAGACATGTTCGTAGCAAGGGGGTCCTGCCTCGCGCTTGTACGCTGTGAGAACCTGCATGCCTCTCAGAGTCTTATGATGTCTGGCCTTGCCTATGATGCTGTTAGAAGAGACAGCTCGGTAGCGTAAATTCAAGATTCTGATATTGAAGGGACGCGACTACACCTATCCCACGGAGTGAAAGGTTAGTGAGGTTCTTGCGGGGCTTGGCCATATGGATGCCTTTCACTCCGTGGGATAGGTGTATGTATAATTTTGGGGAGCAATGGATATCATTTGTGGGAGTGAAAGAGAACATCGGTAGGAACTACGGCCCGTCTGGTGAAAATCATCGAGTATTGAAAGGTTCATGAGACGAAGTGCAATTTCATGAACGTTTGGCAGTAGCCAAGCGACCATCGAATCATCAAAGAATATCAATTTAGCGATAGGTCCATAGCCCTCTATGTAAAGTCTCGGTCCAGTGAGCTCTAGCCTTTCACAAAATCATACAACTCGTCATAAGTCAAGCCGCTGGATTGATGTTCGTATAAGAGACGTAATATCTCTTTGGATGTTTTGAGTCCAAGGGAGTCCTTGTAATAAGTCACGAGGTCATCGCCGTCAGCCGCAATGCTGATATCCGCGCCCTTTTGAAGTAGGAGTTTGACGATGCTTACATTCCTCTTTCCCGCGGCAATCTTCAAGGGAGTGCCTAAGCAACTGCTTTTGTCAGGACTGGCACCTTCATCTAGCAGTGCTTCGACACTGTCATAATCTTCCGCTATCACAGCGTGGCAGAGAATGTGCGACCTAAGAATCTCAACAATCCTGCCGTGGCCTCCTTCCAACGCAGCTTGAAGGGCGGGATTCTCCATGTATGATTGATGATTGAGAAGTGCAGGGTCTTCGTCGAGTAGAAGCTCTACAACGCCAACATGACCGTTGCGTGATGCTTCGTAAAGAGCATGGCCATTGGCTGTTGCCCCGGAGTCAATAAGAAGCTGGACAACCTTGACGTGACCCCTTGACGAAGCCAACGTGATGGGATGGTTCCTCCCTTCAATGTTGGCGTTGACGTCGGCACCCCTATCGATCAAGGCTCGGACAATATCTCGGTGACCGTTTTCTGATGCCACCTTGGGAGCCGTGCCGTAAGTATAAGACACTGCGTTGACATCGGCACCCCAACCGATTAAAAGACGCACAGTTTCTCGGCGACCCTCTCTTGATGCCGCCACAAGCGGAGACCAGGAGGTATCGTCTCCTGCGCTTACATCGGCCCCATGCATAAGTAGAAGCCGAACAACTTCACTATGGCCTTCCTGTGAAGCGATAAAAAGAGCGCTGACGTGTGTGCCACTTCCTTCATTCACATCGACGCCATCCTCCAATAGCTGTCTTGTAACCCTCAAAAGCCCAAGCTTGCAGGCGATAAACAGTGGCGACAATTGATGATCACCGGTTGAAATTTGTGACAAGCGGCACCACCTATCCAAGGCAAGCGGATCCAATAAGAAAGACATCATCTCGGGGAGGACGACATCGTCAGCTTCGGCACGCCTAGCAAACTTCAGCAGCATCGTTGCCGCTCGTTCTGCCAGTGAAAAGCGTGCCAACGCATCCTCGAGAGTAACTTCGCTGTCGATATCCCTGATGTATATCAAGGCTGTCCTTGTGATTGCAATGCTAGCTGAATTAGGTTCAAATTTTTGAGCTCCTTCGCATAGTAGAAAATCCTTGACGGTTTTGTGGCTCAATCGAACCTTTCTCGACTCTCTTCTGTGCGGTGAAGGTGCAATCAAAGATAGCAGAGATGGACAGTACTGCAGTAAATCCTCATCCCTGAAAAGTCTTTTTTCAACGTTGAAATGTGGTGGGTCTGTGTCGAGCTGAGTGGCCAAAATCTCTATGGCCTCAGAAGATGTCAAGGGCTGCTCTGTATACGTGAGGAACTGCAGCAGACGAATGACATCGTTCCTGTAAACGGGATTTAGACGACGGATTATACCTCTATAGGTTTCAAGCAAGTCCCTTGGCAGACTCTGAAGAGACGCTTTCATTGCAGCCAGAGATTGGCATGCAGCTAGAGTGTCCAGTTGTATTACGGCCCATAGGAACCTACAACATCTATTAGACGGCCGCACTAGGTCAGACCTGATATGAGCAAGACTTACGAGCCATCGGATTCATCCCTAAGTCTGGTGCGTATTTCCCCTAGCAAGTCCTGTGGTATTTGTTTCATGGTGAACCTAACGTCTTGCTCGAGCCGCGCATTGACATAAGACATTATGTCGTTGCTAGTGTGCAGTCGCATTGATACAATGTGTCCATTCCTACGAAGGCCGCTAAAAGACTCCGAGAGATGTAGCTGTCGCCCTCCAGTCACCATCAACTTGACGTTGTCGAACGATGGGTTAAGCACAATGGACTCCAGCCACAGAAGAAGGGTTTGTCCTGTGGCGCACTCATCCAATGCGTCGATAATGATACTGAGTCCCTCAGAAGACTGAATCATCGACTCAACACACACTGCTAAGCGAGAAATATATGGCTGAGTCGCACCATCATGACAAAATGTGTGAAGGCTCTCAAGTTCGCCTCTGGACGCAGCCACGGAACGATATAGTTGCCACGCTAGGGAACGAAGGAGGCAATCAAAGGTCTGCTTTCCGATGTCCATGAAGTCGAAAAAGAATGCAAGCGTGCAACCCGATCCAATATCTTCGAGATGGTCAAACACAGTGGTGCTGAGAATTGTTTTGCCGCTTCCTGGAGTCCCATCGAGCCACAGAAATCCCTTTCCCCCGCTTTTCCAATGGACAAAGTCTTCATTGTTGAGGAACCAAACTCCAGTACCTTTGTGACGCTGCGATCTTGCTGCGTCTAGACTACTCGATGTATCGGCGGGGGACAGCCAATGCCGCATCTGGTCCATTCGTTGAGTTTCTTCGCCATCAATTGGCGAGGCCTCTGTTAGTGTCTCGTGGACGGAATCATCGTGAGACGAGTTTGCAGACAGAGAAGTCAGGCCATCTGAGTCTCTATCCGAATCAATAGATACATCCTGTACTGAATCATTTTCAGATTCCAGGTCGAAATAATTGTTGGCATTGAAGTAAGGATCACCTGAATCTCTGGTCTCATTATCTCCAGGCTCATCATTGGGCCAAGGGAGAGACCGCAGGGCAAAGTTGTGCAAATGCTCGGCAATATGATCAAGCAGATCAGGAGAGTCTGCCGGCCCCGTTGAGTCGCAAAGAGGACACCTATAGATGCCTGGAGGAATGGGCCGAGCTGCCTCTGTTACAATTGTTGAGTACTGCTCTTCGTTGATACTTCCGCTATGAGTTTCGCGGAGATGGTGTAGAAATATTTCTACCGAGGGGAAGATCACCGGTGGCCTTCCTAGAGTTGAGCACGCGGGGCATTGCCAGCACTGCCGATGGCTTTTCTCGATATGTTCTGTCCACTCATGCCGCGTGACATACAACCTTTCTGGCGTGGGACACTCCTCCAAGATGCATATGTAAGGGCAGATGTCTGCCATCATATGCTTCCTGTACAATTGCGCTATCAGAAATGATCTTGTAGCAACGTAGAGCGTTCAGATGGAAACATTCTTGTACTCACTTCCATAAAGTCTTCTCACGATACATATCCGGAAGCATTTGAAAACAACATGGACACTTAAAGTATTGAAGCATCTTCGATCTTGGTGGTTTTGGGTATAAAACTCTGGCAGCTGTCGTCGTGATGTTCGTTTTTGCAACTCGCGATGGTGTGAGTATCTGTTTAGGGACAGCTTCGATCGCTTGAGCAACCCCTGACGCCGAGGTAGCCGTCAAACCCTGACTTCTATGGGGCAATCTGTCTTTTTCTTGGCCATAAAATTGTCCACTTTTGGATTCGGCTATCTGCGGTGCCCTAAGTGCCGAATCGTTTTGTCGCAGGGTTAAGATGTCGACAGCAGTCGACTTTGCGCCTGCGCTTTTGGTGCTGGCAGAATCGACGGCCAATTTGTCGGCGTGCTTCTGTGCATACCTATACCTATTCCTGCGACGCAGATTTGCGAGTATGAGACGTTCCTGTATGGCTGTGAGAGCCTCTCTGTCGATGTGATAGTCGCTGCTACCGTCTTCCCGGCCTCTGGCCAAGACGACCAGCTCGAGATGCCGTCGGAGCTTCTGGTGGTTGCTTGAGTCAAACGTCCTGTCGGCTTTGTGTAGACGTGAACTAGTTCCCGACTTGCGAATGGCCAGAGCCACGCGTGCGAGATGGTTGATGATTTGCTCTACTTCGGCTTCGACCTCCAGAAGAGGGGAAGTGTCCTCGGCCACTGATAGACTACCGGACCCCGGATGAGATGAAGAATCATCGGACCATGGCGAAAAACCCCGCGGGATATCTCTTGCGGCATCAAGCCTCTGCACAGAGTCCATTCCTTGGACATCGTTCGCCCACCAGTCGTCCGCATCATCAGTGGCAGTGTCAAGCTCATCCAAATTTTCTGTCACTTCTTCCGTTTCTTCGTCGGAAGGCAATGCTATTGAGATGATATGAGGGACTGTCTTATGCATCGTCCAATGATCTTGGTCACGTACCAAATCTCTTGCACTTCTCAAGGCATTGGGCCAACAGAACGAGAAGCCCATTTACCAAGTCCTTGGTATCCGGTTCAGTGATCAATCTGGCGTCAAGCGAGGCTGCGTTCCCGGCAAGTGCACCAGTGGTCGCAGTCCACAGCTTGAACTCGGCTAACCTATTCTCTGCCCACTCTAGTTGCATCAACGTCGGAATATTTGTGCATTGTAGCAGCGAATCCCGACATTTCGCTGCCACCGCTGCTATTGAGTTTGACAAAAACAATCCCGATGGATGGCTTTGCAGAGTTGATGCCATCTTTCGACTGGCAAAAATGGACAACTAGGGTGGTCCAGGAGTGATGCGTGATTTAAGAAGAAGATCGTCTGACCCTACTTCGAAAGCCTGCGGGGCTTGGTGCGACAACATATGCGGCAGGCAGAAATCAGGCTGTAAGCTTCACACCTTCCGACTGGGTTTCCCATTTGTGTGATCATGTGATACTCTGATAGGATTGTGAAAGAACGAAGTGGGGATATTGGGGATAATCGACGAAGATTCGCGTGCCTATTGGTTCTCTTCGGGCTGCGTCTTGGCCTGCTGAGCAAGCGCTTAGCCGTTGGAATACCTACCCTCTTGGTGCGCTTACTCGTTAACGTACATAAGAAAGTAGCCCACGCAATCCATCTAAGTGTCAGCTTTGAAGCTACCCAGAAGTTAATCAGAGCCCTATACAGCTCAGCTGCAGGACATCCAATCTCCTCTTAATTGACAAACACTCGAAAACTATGGCTTCCAAGACGTATATCCTCACACCAGGCTACCACTATGGGCCTGAAGGCCTTATCCAGATAGGCTCCATCATTGCCAACCCATTCCAGCCGGCGAAACCCCTCTCGAAGCTCACCGTCACACCTGCCATTGAAACAGTCTATCACCACAATCTAGAAGCGACATGCGACACTGGCCGGTCTGTAAAGCTGTCTCTGTGGGCTAATATCCTTGACGCGGCGGGTGTGGGTGTGGGCGCATCTCGTTCACGTAATGCTGTCGAATCACTCGCCGTCAAGAGGCTTGAAACCCGCTATCTTGCGCAGGAACCGGTGGATGATGACCCGGAACTCATGGATCGCCTCAAGGAGCCCCAAGTTCAGGCCGCCATCAAGAGCGGGCTTTTCGGCCGATCCCCAGTCTACCTCATTTCCGGCGTCAAAATCGCCCGAGGATTGGTCGTCAGGTCGGACAGGGGCCGGACAACCGGTGGTTCGCTGACAGCAACTGCGCCAGCTGCGCAAGCCATCGGTATAGACATCGGGGCGTCTATTGAGGGGGAGAAAAGCCGGGGCAAAGGTTCTTCGTTCGAGGTTGATGACCAAGACATTGTGGTTGCTTATCAAGTGCACATCATCAAGACGAAAAGATGGTCGAAGGAGGGTGCAACTGCGGATATATTCGAGTCAGATGCCGCATTCCTGCACAATGACGAGATCAGTGAGGACAATGAGGACTTCGAAGTTAGCACGGGGGAAGTCCAAGCACTGGCCGAAGCGGCTAGAGAGATGGAGATAGGGATTGAAGTTGAGAAGGGCCTTAGACCAAATAACGGGGGCTTCGTGTGTATACAAGCTAGGGAGGAGTAGGCATCACATCCAGGAGAAAGGCATCAAGAGCTAGCCTCTGGCTATGCGGTAGCTCTGCCAAAGCGAATTAATAGGATGTATGCAACATCTAAGCTAAATGAGGCGTGCCTCGTTATTTCAATTTGATCTCGTGCAAGCATCAGCCATTGCTATCCATGTCTTCTTCACGTCTGTGCCAACCAGAATCCCTCTAGGGGATATATAACGAGACCGATTCCCCATTTCCGATGACATCCTCTCCAGAACTTGGTACATAACTGGCTTTGTCCGTAAACTGGAAGCTTCATCCGGTGTTAGACAGCCCCCCTCCACACCCGCATCACTAATCATCAAGAGTGAGGCCGCGATCCCGGCTGCTACAGCTGTGGCAACTGACGAACCGGACTTAGGGACCTCGCCACGTGCCGTGCTTAGTGACGCTGCTGGTACGTCTCTACCTAGGGTCCCGAATACAATAGGACCGTTCGGATTGACAGGCGGATTTGTGTCCGAGAAGGCACCTCGGCTGTTGGTTTCACGGATCGAGAAGACTTCGTCGAGGTTTGCGGGAAACATCTCCTTTCCATTACCACCCGCATTAGAAGCTGCAGCGAAGAAAATGAGACGACCATTGCGATCAAGGATGGCCTTTCTAATCGCGGCAGTAATAACAGGCACCTCGCTCGGAAAGCCAAAAGACATGGAGATGATGTCCACGCTGACTTGGTTCGCCGCCCAGTCAATTGCCTGTTCACTCGAACGTTAGTCGAACTGCTTTATGAATAACAGGAGATTCTCCTTACGTCAGCAATTGCCTGCGATGCTTTCCTCAGACTGCTCATGTCTTTTGCTATTCTCGCCACGTACATCCGAGCATGCGGGGCTACCTTCATCGCAGTAGCAGCAGTGTGAGTGCCGTGGCCAGCTTCATCCACGAGACCCTGTGAAGATCCGGCAAAATCCTTCCAATCATCTATACGACGTCCCTGGATATCAAGGAAGGAGGAACTACCGTCGAAGCCAGTGTCCAATATGGCCACACGCGGGCGCTTGGCCAAGGCTTCAGGAGACAACAGTTTCAGGAAAT